GATTTCCCGTGGCTTAAGGGACACGGAGAGGGGGGTTATTCAATTCCAAACAATTTTCCGGATGCAGCAGTTGGAGGGGAATGGCCTGGCTTGCTTGTCTTGGTGGAGAGATCCAGCACCAAGAGCTTGCCAAGTTCTGGTTCTCGGATATCCCAGTAAGAACTGGAATGGTTTGGGCGGGAAGGGAGATGAAAGATCATGGAATTCCAACCCCCTGCCATGGGCAGGGACCTCCCACTACCCCAAGTTGCTCCACCGTGGCCTTGGACACTTCCAGGGATGGGGCAGCCCCGGCTTCCCTGGGAATTCCATTCCAGCCCCTCACCATCCTCACAGAAAGAATTTATTCCTAATATTGCTTCCTAATATCCTCACAGTAATTTGGATGTAATGAGGATATTCCCAACATCCTCACAGTAATTTATTCCTAATGTCTCTTCCCTCTTTAGGTGGGAAAAGACCCCCCCCCCCCCACAAGGTCATCGAGTCCAACCCAATTAACACTGGGGATGACATTCCCTTAATGAAGGAACCTGCTTCCCTCCAGGAACTGCCGCCTTTCCCAAAGGATGGAGGGACTTGACCCCCTCAGGGGATTTGGGAATGCCAAGTCGAAGCTTTCTCCCTTAATCCTGCATTAATTCCCGACGAAGCCAGAGCAGGTTGGTGCCTGCAGTCGGACTCCCAGCCCACGGGGTGGGTCCAAGGCCTGATCCACTCACTTGTCCTGGAATCCCACGAGACATCCAAGGAAGTAACTTCATAAATTATGGATCGTAATGGGCATTTTTGATGGAAACCTGATAAAAAACTGCTCTTTTGAGGGGGGGGAGCACACAGGGAGGAGAACACCAGAGGGAGAAGAGTCCCCAATATCGCCACTAAATCCCAAATTACCCCTTTCCTTCTTGGGAGCTGCTCCACCCAGGACTTCCCAGCTTTTCCCTGTTCCCAGGGAAAGGGGGAGGAAAGGCAGAACGAGGGGGAAGATTTACTCCCGGCCTAAATTATTCACCAGCAAAAAAAGGGGAGCGTGGGTCTTTAACGAGCGAGGTTAACGTTTTCCCCCCTCGATTCCCGGGAATATCATCAACTCTCCGGGGTCCATTTGAGGACTTTTCCGCTCGCAGCAGCGAAAAGGCGCCGACTCAGCACTTTCCCCTCCTTCCCCCCCCCCCTGTATTATTTAGAGAATAAAATTAACCCTCAGCAGCCCAGGCTGGTGGTTTTAACTCCTCCCCAGTGGAAATCTGGCCCTCTCAGCAGTTTCTGCCCCGTCTGTAATTCCGGGCTGCTATCCATCATCCCGAGGAGAGCGGCTCCCGAAGTGACGCCGTAAGCACTTTTCCTAATAGAAGAAATATTCCAACTATCTCCTTGATATTTTCATTTAAATTGCAATAGTTTTAGAAATAATTGGCAGGCCCCACACTCCCCCCCCCCGCCTTTTCCCCCCCTCCTTTTGCTGGAGGGGAGGAGGGCAGGATTCCCGCGTTTTCCGGATCCCGGGGAATCGTTTATCCCGCGCTCCGTCCCCTTCTTTCCACGAGAAGGAATTAAGCCCAGACTAATTTATTAGAGCCTCCTTTCACTGCTGCTGATCAGCTGTTTGCCCTAAAACTCTCCCTTTTGGAGTTTTTTTCCCCCCTTTTCGCTCCACGGCGCTTTTTCCTTCCGGGAAAAAGGTGGGAATTTTGGCAGCGCCGGGTCAAGGGTTGGGCTCGATGAGCTTCGAGGTCTTTTCCCGGACCTAAATCATCCAATTATTCCACCCAAGGTCGTGTCTGGATTCTGGCACAGGGGATGACACCGCGGGGATGGGAACGGGGCACCTTCAGCTCCTCCATCCACAGGGATGGAGGAAAGAGGGAGAAAAGCCCTTTGGAGCTCCAGCACGTGGATCCAAGAATCCAGTTGCTCATCCCAGCATCTTCCCTACTGGAAGGCAGGAAGGGATCTCCAGGAGCAGCAAGTCTAAGTCTCAGATCCAGGACATGGAGGAGACGGTTTTTCCATAGGAAAAGCATCCCAGAAGTGCTGTTTTCCTGGGAGGGAAGCAGACTGAGGAAGAGGGTGGCTGCCATGCTCCCCCTGGGCTCAGAGATGGGACAACACTGCTCAGCAAATCTTGGAATTGTGGAATGGTTGGGGTGGGAAGGGACCTTTAATGGTCATCCAGTCCCACCCCCTGCCATGGGCAGGGACAGCTCCCGCTATCCCACATTGCTCCCACCTGGCCTGGGACACTTCCAGGGATCCAGGGGCAGCCACAGTTTCTCTGGGAATTCCATTCCAGTCCCTCCCCACCCTCACAGTCAAGAATTCCTTCCCAGTATCCCATCTAACCCTCTGGCAGTGGGAAGCCATTCCCTGTGTCCTGTCCCTCCATTCCTTGTCCCAAGTCCCTCTCCAGCTCTCCTGGAGCCCCTTTAGGCCCTGGAAGGGGCTCCAAGGTCTCCCTGGATCCTTCCGTTCTCCAGGTGAACATTCCCAGCTCTCCCAGCCTGGCTCCAGAGCTGAGGGGCTCCAGCCCTTGGAGCATCTCCGTGGGCTCCTCTGGACTCGCTCCAGCAGCTCCACATCCTCCTGAGGACCCCAGTGAGGGCCTGAACTCGCTGTCACCCCCTTCCCTCATCCCTGGCACAGAATGGGGGAACCACAAGATGCTGGAAAAACCTCGACATTCCATGGGGTTTTTTTTTGCATGTAGGAGCCCTAAAATTCCAGGGAATTTTAACTTTTAACTTTTAAACCCATCCCGGAGCCAGCGTGGAAAACAAGCTTTTAACATCCACGGATTTCCTATGGAAACCAGAGAACCACAAGCCTTTTCCTTTCCCTCTCTTTAGAGGAAGGATTTTCCAGGCAGGAACAACCAGACATGGGAAACATGGACACCCTGGGAAGGCTCTTCCCAGGAAACATCAGCACAACATTTACCCCAGACGAAGCCTTGGACTTCAATCCTTTTTTTTTGGGTTTGTTTGTTTGTTTTCCCTGCCTGTAAACTCCCTTTTCCACAATTCCTTGGGAAAACCACAGGACTGCTGTTCATCCATCCCCCTCCAGGGGCATTTTCCAGTCCCATGCTGCCTTCGGACCCCGGGATAAACCGGGCTAAATAAACCCTTTCCTTACCTTCTCTCCCATGGGACAATATCCCTTGAGGAAATCCTGGCACACCTCTGCCTTCCTGGACACGTAGACGTGGCTGTAGGGGCAGTTGCTGTTGCTGCAGATCCCTTTCAGGTAGTAGGAACACACCGGCATCTGCGAGAGAAAACCCGGCAGCGCTCCCTCAGCTCCGGAGCCGGAACCGTTCCAACCATCCCTCAGCTCCGGAGCCAGAACCATTCCAACCTCCTTCTGCTCCAGATCCAGAACCATTCCAACCCTCCCTCAGCTCTGGATCCAGAACCATTCCAACCATCCCTCAGCTCTGGATCCAGAACCATTCTAACCTCCCCTCAGCTCCAGATCTGGAACCATTCCAACCTCCCCTCTGCTCCAGAACCATTCCAAACC